TCAAAGCATGCAGAAGACTTAAATCAGGGCAAAGATGGTGGCTGGACAGAAGTGACAGGGAAAAAGAGGCCTTACTCAAGTCGTGACAACACAGACATCCAAAAACAAACTAAACTCGATACGTACTGGCTATCCCGAACACAACCTATACCACTAGCAAACAGGTTTTCCGATCTAGAAGATGAAAATGTAACAAGTTGGGGCTTCTTGCTCATTTGCCACAAATGAGAAAGAAACTAAACCACCTCCAATTTTCGTGGATAAAGTAAAAAATATCCAACCACTTCTAAAACTTTTAAATGAACATGTCCATGATATGTTCAGAAGATATGCTCCAGTCTAAAACACCGGAGACTTATAGAACCATAGTCAAACAACTGAGTCAGAAAAATACCGAGTTCTTTACCTATAAGCCTAAACGGGAACGACATTTTAAAGTTGTTCTCAAGAACACGCATCCCTCAACTAATCCAGAAGACATTTTGAGTTTTTGACAATTCACGTTTTTAATAATCCATTGCTTTTTTATTCATTACTACTCAATTGTGTATAATTTTACATATGTACTAATACATACACACATACATAGTTGTATATATGCACTACATAGCTGAGTACTTTTTTTGATTAATTCTCTGAGAAAAAATAGATATTGCCTATTGACTAGTTGGCAAATCTTTGCCAAGCCTTAATGGTACTAGAACAAGGCAGAACACTGTAAATAAGTGTTCTGCCTTGTTCCAATTCCAATTAGCGTTTTCCCCCGTAGAAATGCATGTAATTAATTTTGCCAAAACACTGTATCTATTGCACCAAACTCTGGACTTCCAAGCTCAGAACACCATGCATCTGGACGTGGATGTCTAGGCTGCTCCGCGAATACTGGGGGGCGGGGAGCACAACTGCGTTTGACAAAATATCTGCCCACGGCAAGTGCAGGCACATCAGGTCACCACTCATCACGCTTGACGTGGACTTCTGCAAGATCAGGGGTCTACACTCGACCTTAATGCTGTCCACCACCATCGAGACAGAGAAGCCGGCCTTGCTCCTTTTAACCGGGACGCAGTCATCTCCATCGAACACATCCTACCTCTCCTACCCTGTCTATCATCTGGGAACACTCCTTTGTTGCTAGGGCTGGATTGTGCGTATACATTCGAGATGATATCAGTTGCCGCCGCCTCGGCAATGTTGGAGGATGGGACCTCTCCATCTTGTGGTTTAGTTTAGACAGCGACGACCATCCCCGTGTCTATGCATGCCTCTACTGGTCCCATAGCGGTGATACTGAAACTGAGCGACTGATGGACCACGTCCAAATGGCTACAGACCCTGTGCTGCAGCAGATCCCATCTGCAGAGATCGTGATACCTGGCGACTTTAACGAATGGCTTGGTTCAAAACCGATCACACGGGGAGCACTGTTCACGACTCGTGCTGACCTATTGCTTCTAACAACTGGTATCATCGCCTAAGACCTTCTGCTGACCTCTGATCCGGACGGTTACAAGGTCACCGTTGAGGCCCTTCTTGGCTTCTCGGATCATTGCCTAATCAGGAGTGCGGTGCCACTCATGTGCTCGCCGCGGGTGCGAGTTGCAGGCAGCCGCTACGTATGGCACTATAGGTCAGTCGAATGGGATTGGATGCCGCTCTTTCTTTACGTCCTACCCATGGAGGCGGTTTTGTTGTCGTTTCTATCAGTGACGTAGTGCTTCAGGACATAAAACTATTCGTTCCATGTACCTTAATTTCCATCGATGGCAGATCCAAGCCTTGGTTCGACAAATCTTGCAAAACGACGTCCCGCCGTAAGCATGAATGTTACCAAGCATGGGCTAATGCAGCGACGGTAGGTGATGTAAATACGAGCACTCTAAAAAAGCCTCCAGGTCCCTCAAAAGAGCCTTTGCTAGGGCGAAATCGGAGCAAACCAGCCTGATTGGTAAAAGACTGGTGAAACTTCTTACTGGAACTCGTGCATTCTGGTCTCTTGCCAAGGCTGTCCTGTAGCTCTGTAAATCCCTTCCACCCCTTCAGATGGGCCATAATTTGTTGGCCTATGATGCCAAGGAGAAAGCCGATCTTCTAGGCGAACTTTTTGCATCCAACTCGACTTTGGATGGTGAGGGAAACGTACCGTACGCCGGGAATCCATCTCACCCAGAAATCAGTGCGTTAAGCAATCTTTTCCCTCGATATTCATGTCGAGTGGGCCCGATGGAATCTCCCCTACCGCGTTGAAGACGTGTGCTTCTCATTTTTCGACTCCTACTACCTAGGCGTCGTCCCAAACTCCTGGAAGGCAGCGTTTGTGCACCCGATCCCTGAAAAAAGTGACCGCGCTGATCTATCCAACTACAGGCCGGCCATAACCCCCTTGTTCTTTAAGATTTTGGAATTATTATCGTTTCGTCCAGTCAAGTATGCTGGTTGAACGGCATCAACGTGCGAGTGCCCCGGATCGGTCCAAAACACTGTATCTGAATTGAATACTGTAAGCTTTGTTACAGTTTTTTAACAGGTTAAAACCCTAATTTTAATACAATACAGTATTGTTTAGATTTTTGTTTCTTCTTAAATGCAGTTTAGAAAAACAAAAGTGTTCATCAGGGGTACTAAACCGAGGTACCAGGGATTTCCTTTCTAGGGTAAACCTGGTTCCCCGGCTACAATTGGTCAGTTCGAGTCCAACATAATCACCCCACCGGTGGGTAATATCCGAGGAGATTTCCGCACAGGAAAAAAAATAAAGGGGTACTAAACCGACGTAAAGAAACTGATTGAGCGTTGTTAACGTAAAACACTGTAAGTTGAGTTACAGTCTTTTGGATTGGCAAGGCAGCTCTGTCTATTAAAGAACTACGAGTTGAAAAAGGTACAGATAGAAAAAAATGGTAGCAAACACGTTATGACACAGATAAAAAACATTTGAACTATCTACAGTCTTAATTAAAAACACAGTTAAAATATTATAAAAAGACAAGACATCCAAATATTCTTGAAAAATCTTGACGTAACTGCTACTATAGACTACTCCTTGTGGAAAGCCATCAAGAAATTTAAAAGACCCGCTACAAATCAACCCCCTCGTAAGAATAACAATGTGTATAAAAATAACAATGCTATTGTTTCTGTTGAACATCTTAAAAATGTATTTAACTCAAACCCTGATATGGGCTCCTCAAAAACTCATCAAGTTATCGACTTATTAAATAAAACTCACCACTTCGATATACCTATTCCCAAATTCACTAAGGAAGAGGTAAAAGATACCATTAAGGCACTGAACTCCAATAATGCGGTTACGACTTGATAACTGGCAAAAGTCAAAGGGAACTACCTAAAGAAGGCATTTCCTTTCAAAGCTTTTATTTAACAAAATCCTGTTCAGATATTCGGTTCCTCTTCAGTGGAAAGTCGCACAAGTCATAATGGTCCTTAAACTTGGTAAAAGTGCTGTTGATGCGAAATTTCACAGACCCATAGCTTGCTGCCCATTACATCAAAGTTATGGCAAAATTTATCTTGAGAAGACTGATGCCCATTATCTTTGAAAATAACCTCTTACCTGACCATCAATTTGGGTTTCGACAACAGCACAGCACTATAGAACAAGAACATAGACTTATTGAAAATATTCATAAAGCCGTTGAGCTGAAACAATATAGTACAGCGGCCTTTCTTGACATATCTCAGGCTTTTGATCGGGTTTGGCATGAGGGGCTTTTTAAAAATTAAAAAATAATCTACCCATTAATTACTACAACATAATCAAATCCTACCTAAGCAGCAGATATTTTTTTGTAAAACAAAGTTGCGATCTACATCCCTATATAAAACCGACGCAGGTGTCCCTCAGGGTAGTGTAATGGATCCCATGCTCTTCTTACTTTACACTTCAGACCTCCATCTACAGCAAGCGTACGATGCAGCTGTTTTTGCAGCAGATACTCTACCAGACCTTGCCGCACAAAAACTTTAGGCAAACCTTGACCATATATTCCAATGGCACAAAGACTGGCCATATCAATGAAACTAAATCTGTCCAAGTGACATTCACTACAAGAAGAAATACATGTCCACCTGTTTACTTTAATGGAGTTTAATTACCCCAAGTAACTGAAGCTATAATACCTGGGAATGTAAGGTACATTTCCAGGTATTATAGACATCTCACCTAGACAAAGCACATTTTTACCAAACGCTGCCGCACGTCAAAGACTGAGAGAAATTAATTGGTTACTTAATAAAAAGTCGCAATTGACATTGGAAAATAAGCTATTACTGTACAAGTGCATCATAAAACCCATATGGACATTCAGACTGCAGCTCTGGAGAACTGCATCTAAATCGAAGATAGCCATTCTGCAAAAATTGCAGTCTAAACTTTTAAGAATAATAACCAATGCATCCTGGTATGTCACAAATGACAATCTACACAACAACCTCGGCATCACCACTGTAATGCAGGAAATATCTGACAGAACCTGGACTTACAGGGACTGGATAAGCAAACATCCAAACTCACTAGCAGTTAGCCTGATGAATACACAGAGTCTGAGAACCACTAGAAGGCTGAAGAAAAGGCTTCCTCAAGACCTCATAGGATTGAGAAATAGAGAGCCACGGATCATATCAACACACAACAATTGCTAAATATCTCAAATTTGTCTGCAATAAAAAAAAAAAGAAAATACCCTTTTTTTACTTACTGAGGAAAATTTAATATGTGAAGGTAATTGAAATTGTATGTTTGTATATCAAGCAACAGTGTAAGTCTTACCATGTGAAAGGACATGTTGTTGTCCAAACAAAAAAAAAATCACACGTTTATTTTATGTACACTTATTAATTAGTGCTTTTTTTTTAATTTTGTGTGAAAAACGTGTGATTTTTTAGATAACTATTACCCAAATATTAAAAAAGTAGACATTCCACAAATATTTTTTCGTTTTATAAGGCAAATTGCATGGGTTAAAAAGAAAAGTACTAACCTCTAAAGTTTTGATAGGATCTCGTGAACCTTTGGAAGAATCCCAATCATTCTGCCTTTTGTTTATTTCTCCCATTTTACTGTTAAAAAAATCGTGTCGAAACACAAATCAACTACATTGCTTGTTTCATAAAAAATGTATTTTGTATTTACACGCTGAGCAATTCTAAAGCACCACCAAAAAATATGATTCCCTGCCTATCGAAAATATTTCTGTACTCTGTGCTATCGAATGAATAGTCATACTATGACTGTGAGCGGAACAATAAATAAACAACATTTCATGTCGTTGATGTCATTCATTTGTCTTCAATGGCAGTGAATGCAGCAGTATTGCCAACAGTTTAATTAACTATCCACCAGATTCAACGTTTAAAACCTCCAGAAAACCACTAACAAAAACGTCCCTACTCTATTAGTCGCTACATTTTTTACTAAACCTTTTTTAGTTATTACGAAAGAAATTAAAAGTATTTTAATAATTAGTTTCCTTAATTATGAACTAACAATCAACATAAAAATAGTAAATCAACAAGCCATGATCAGGCACATAAAAAAATATTCAATAACAACGGTAACTAATTTTAAATAGTAATATCGGAATATCAGTATTAATTTGAAATCAATTCGTCTTATTTATTTATTTATTTATTATAATAAGTACAACCACATTGTATATATTACACAATTCACGCTACATTCAGTTGATGGTAATTATTCTGATATATACAACAATTACGGTGTACATAACATTCATAACAATATCAGTACAGTGAGATAAAATATGGATCCAATGGAATAGTTACTAGAAATTATGTTTAAAAAGGAAACACTAAAAATAGCAGCAATAGTAAATAAAAAAAAAAGATGATTACTAAATATAAATACTGAACTAAAAAAAAAAAGAACATAAGTGGTTTCTAAAAACTACTAAGAGTACAACTAGGCAATAACTTTGATTTTAAACTGGTTAAGCGCATGTGGAAAATGTCGAGATCATTATTCTTAATAACACTATTATTGTAATTGCAGCAAATTCGTGTCAAAGGTGATTGCAAGCCAAGGTTTGTTCTGCATGCTGGAGTATAGAAAAGTTTAAGTATTGGGTGTCTGGGATAGTGGTGAGGAACGGATATTGAAATCTTTCCGAGCAATTCGTTACATCTCAACTGACCATTTACAACCCTATGCAGAAAGCAAACATCCAACATTTGTCGCCAGTCGCGTAAGCTATTCATTTTAAATTGAGCAAGACGATGGTCGTAGGAGTTCCTATGTGAGAAACCCGTGGCCCGAAAAGCAAGGTGTCTAGTGAATGACCTTTGAATACTCTCTATGCGTTGTGAGTGAATACTATAGAAAGGACACCACACAACCGAGGCAAACTCGAGTCGGTTGCGTACCAGGGCGTTGTAAAGAATTAACTTGGTTTGGTAACGAGTAAATTCCCCAGTGTTTCTTTTAATGAACCCGGGCAACTGTGCTGCCTTTTTAACTGTTACGTCGATATGTGTGTGAAACTTTAGCCGACCATCGAGTACCTATTACCAGTATCGAGTACCGAGTACCTATTACCAGTACCTATTACCTAGTACCACGCCACTTATTTCATACTTAGTAGCAACTGGTTTCATCTTCCTGCAATATTTTATAAAGAAACACTTCTTCGCATTGAGAGTCATACGATTGCTACCACACCATGCCGTAATACTATTCAGATCATTTTGAACCAGAGCAGCATCTCTTTCATTAGTTACGACCCTATAGATTTTTAAATCATCTGTGTATAGTGCATATTTCGAATACTTAATGTGGCCAGTAATATCGTTAATAAATATTAGGAAAAGTATTGGGCCTAAATGAGATCCCTGTGGGACACCGGATTTGGCTAGGTAAGTTTCTGATGCATATCCACATACCTCAACAGTTTGCGGTCGGTTATTGAGATATGATTTGAACCACTTCAATAGGATACCACCTACTCCAAAATCATACAACTTTTGAAGAAGTATCTCATGATCCACCTTATCGAACGCGCTACTAAAATCGGTATAAATAGCATCTACCTGTAAACCTTTGTCCACTTGTTGACACAGGTCTGAGACGAAAGGAACAAGGTTTGATTCAATTGAACGGCCAGCTCTGAAACCGTGCTGATGATCAGAGAGATATGGTTCAGCTAAATTAGACACCAAAGGGTATATAAGGGTTTCAAATAGCTTCGAAAAACAGGAAAGGATAGAAATTGGTCGGTAATTCTGTACTTCAGCTTCACTACCTTTTTTGTAAATTGGTAGGATACGTGCTTTTATCCAGATTTCAGGGAAATTTCCTTCAACAAGTGAGCGATTGTATAAAAGGGTCAAAGGTAAAGATAAGGCTGATCTACACCGTTTCACGAATAATGGAGGTATACAATCAGGGCCTGCTCCCTTAGTACTGTCAAATTTTTTGATCGCCCGGAGAACCTCGTTTTCGGTGAGATGTAATTTACCAATGAATGTATGTAACACTCGCATTTATGTTATTAGCTATAGTGCTACTATAAGCCGGTGTTTGTGAGCTATAAACAGACGAAAGTGAAAAGCGAACAAATTAACAATTTCCATCCCAGTCTCCGCTGTAGAATCATTGAAATGCAGAATGACCGCCTCTTTTATTTCTAATAAAATGCCAAAATGCTTTTGGGTTACTTATAGTGCTAGACTCTATTGTTTTCTTCGTTATATTACATCATGTAAGATATCATAAAATTTACGGACCATCCCGTTCACATCCTTCAAACCACATAATTCACTCTGCCAGATAATGTTTCTTATTTCAGTTATAATGGTTTTGTAGTCAGCTCTGTAAAAATTATAATCAGTATTTGCTATAGGTTTTAAATATTTGACATCATGGTAAGAAACAGAAACTAACAAGGGTGGATGGTTAGAGTAGCATTCTACAGTCTTCTACAGATAAACTGTTTTTGTCTGCACGATCACCATCGCTTTCAGATTGATACGTTTGTTTGGTACCGATTTGTTTCAAGAACTTTTATTAGACTTTCAAATTCGTTGCAACATTTTCCTTCCAACCTCAAACCACAGTGTTTTCTGAACATAGCAGATAAAATATTAAATTTATTTTGCTCCTGCTTGTTTTTTCATTACATTCATTCCGCTAAATAGTCAGTATGCAGTATTAAGAGAATAATGGCAAAAGTTGCTAATTACACACACCTCGATTTTCTATAGCCATATTGGAAGTACAATATCTCCAGTATGTGGAAGTTTTTTAACACGTTGGACATTGGTAGACAACAACGGACTGAGTTTTGAACAATTTGAATGATTTCAATTTTCATTTTTCTTCTGATACTCAACTGGATCATTAAACCAAGAGATGGACCCTGAACTATACCGCTAGTCTGCCCAGAACCTATTGGTTCGCCCCAGAAGGCGCTGGAGAAAATTACAAGTTTACAAATAGTGTTAACTTGTAATTTTCTCCAGCGCCTTCTGGGGATATCAATCAAAAAAGATCAACGTGTCTATCCGTTCTAATGCAACGGGTTGTGTTGACTTCAGCCGTAGGATGATAGTTACCATCTTGGATAACGTCCTCGAAGTCATAGCATATATAATAGATTTCTTTCTTGACTTCGGATTTCCGGAACCTTCCCCTATCTACATCATCATATTGCCTAAAATAATAATCCTTATCTTATTTCGCACTTCCGTCCAATCTCCATCCTTAATTTCCTATCATAGGTTCTTGAGATTTGCGTACACAGACAGATTCTCAGAATTCGTCTTTCATCATCATTTTTACTGGTTTTGCATGAATTTTGAAAGAAATAGACTGACATAAACACTGAAAGTTGCTCATATTGCTCATATCAAAAGACAAGACTAGACTAGACTGAACAAGAAAACTTATACAATCCAAATAGAAAAAAGTTTTCAATCATCGCTTGTTATTTTTGTTCGTTTCTGCCAGCCAGTAAACTAATTACTCCCAACACTTACCATTACCAATAAACCATTAAAAAATCCACTTGCCATTAAAAGAAGGGTCCAAACCAACAGTTTTAGTGGATATTCCACTAGGTTGGCTACAGTAGAAAGGAGTGACGGAGGCATAGGTAAAACACTATAAACCAGAGATATGGAGGGAATACCACTTACCAATTTTACTATACCACCGATTACCATAATGTAGCAAGCTAGAGGGTACTAGAGGTAGAGGTAAGGCATCAGGAGAACCGACACAGTATGTTGTCTATGGAACCGACTCTGTGTATAAAAACTAATGAAGTGCGCAAAATGAATTAAATCGGCGGCAATACAGTTATTGTAGCTATTAGTACAATATCATATTTTTTCAAAAAAAGCTCCATAATTTGTTAGAGTAGGATAGAGAAATAAACATTGAAAGAAAAACAGTGTGTAAAATTTTTATGGGCTTAAATAATAATACTGCTCAACACTAGTTTTAGCGCGAAGACACTGTTTTTTTAAATAACTCAGGACAGTATACTGATTACATTCATACCAAAAATTTAGACTTCCTACCTGTAATTATCTAAATATTGACTTGTACAGAGAAAACACATTTACTAAGAAAAGCGGTATTCATTAAATTATTATGTAATTTAAAACTTTCTTATTCGCGACTTTCGTTTATGAGGTGTATTGCGACAATTACGGTGCATACCCCGGCAGTTAGTAGTCAGCCATCATATGCCGATCCCATCGGCCTTGGTACCTCCCCTTTATTGTTTTCAGGTCCTGGTGAAACCGCTTGCCTTGTTCTTCGCTATAGAATCCATGATTCTCTGGAAATAAATCCAGATGAAGAAGTTATACTCGTAAATAAAAATAAATTAATTAATGAGTGAAATAAACTTGTAAGTACAATTTTAACATTGACCAATCCATTTTTAAATATTTTTGTTTTTTTCCGTAACCGGTGTCCACAAACGTGAAAAAAGTCAGAAAAACCAATAATAGTTTACGTTTTAGTAAGTGATAAGAAAACCGAGACCTGCGCAGCTCCTTTTAATATATAAAACTCCGTTTCCAGACTGGTAACCATTTTAGTATCACTGCGATTTGGAACTCGACGGTAATTATTTAAATAAGGTTAGAACCCCAACCCCTTTTTTTTTTTTTCCGTGCGGAAATCCCCTCGGATACTACCTGTCGGTGGCATGTTGGACTCGAACCGTCTAAAACCGCACGCCGTTTCGGGTACTAATAGCCGGGGAACCAGGTATACCCTAGAAAGGAAGTCCCTGGTGCCCCGACATACCTCGGGCCATCTACAGACGAGTAGACGACCCCCCCCCCCCCCCGTGTGGGAACCCCATGTTCCCTGTGCTCCCTGGAAGCGAGCGCGCTTTGCAACGCGCTCGCCACCACCCCGGCCTGCTTCTGCTAGGGTGACAGATGGCCTCACCTGTCACCCCCAGGCCTGCGCTTATGGAGGACCGAGGTCGTTCTGCGACCTCCGGCGCCTGAGTCGCCTGCGGTACCTGGCCCGTTCCCAGGCCTAGAGTCTAGAGTCTAGAGCCTAGAGTCCTAAACCTCTCCCGGTCCCGCTCCGCCGTCTCCTTCGCGAGCATAACTTGCTCGCAGAAGGAGATGGCAGAGTTCCACGCACTCTCGCTACGCACGATAACCGCAATCAGGCTATCGAGCGAGAGAACCCCCACTCCGATGGCCGCCACGAGGTCTCGCCTCTGCTCAACCCACGCCGGGCACTCTGCCAGCGTGTGGAGAGCCGTGTCCACGGTCTGGCCATCGCAGTGGTGGCACTCAGGCGTTGGCTCCTTGCGGATCAGACACAGGTGATCCCCGAAACATCCTTTCCCAGTGATCACCTGCGTCAGTCGGTATGAGAGGGTCCCGTGACGCCTCTCGAGCCAATCCTCCATAACGGGTCTTACCGCCGCGATGACGAGAACCCCAACCCCTAAGTAAATGCTGGGTACAGTGAGTACGCCCATGCCTCTACTCTCCATATTCATAACACAGATAACAACCATTTAAAATGTTATAAAACCTAAAATAAGAAATATTAAATGAGTGTAAAGGAGTTGTCCATAAATGTTCTTTATTCTTGAAAAAATCAAAATCAATTAACCAAATATTTTTGGACTTCCTAGGAACTAATATTATGATTTATGAAATAAAATTTTAAATACTGCAATTTTGAGAAAACATTGTTTTTACTTTGCATATTTTTCTAATATCCGCGCTAATATGTTTTTTTCTGCAGCTTTCCCAAATAGAACTTGTCTTACAGATAGATTCTAAAAAAAATCATTTTAATACAATGTGTCTGGGTTCGGACTGTACAAACTTTAGGGGGTGATAGTTTGCTCTATTTTATCACTAAAATCATTCTACAGGTGGGGTCTAAACCCAACGGCCTCTGAATGGCAGCCATTTTTGTATTTTGGTTGACTTTTTCGTAGCGTCCATACTAAAAGTTATGTAACTTTAGAGTTTAATGTCCGATTATCGTAAAACAAAAACTTCCCATAACGGAAAAGTATTAGCAATCAGATAAATAACTCAAATAATTTTAATAATTGCTGTATCATATTAAAATGAATGCTAAAAGATCAACTTTACGTCAAAATTAACATTGTTTTTTAGTGTTTCAAGGCTATTACAAAAAATACCCCTATGAACCATCTCTTATTATGCACGTGTCTCACATTTTTAAACCAATTGTCATAGAATCGAGTTTTTGGTATCATTATTTAGGTCAGCTTACCATCTCTGCGACACGTGTATAATAAGAGATAGTTCACAGGGGTATTTTTTGTAATAGCCTTGAAATACTAAAAAACAATGTTAATTTTGACGTAAAGTTGATCTTTTAGCATTCATTTTAATATGATACAGCAATTATTAAAATTATTTGAGTTATTTATCTGATTGCTAATACTTTTTCGTTATGGGAAGTTTTTGTTTTACGACAATCGGACATTAAACTCTAAAGTTACATAACTTTTAGTATGGACGCTACGAAAAAGTCAACCAAAATACAAAAATGGCTGCCATTCAGAGGCCGTTGGGTTTAGACCCCACCTGTAGAATGATTTTAGTGATAAAACAGAGCAAACTATCACCCCCTAAAGTTTGTACAGTCCGAACCCAGACACATTGTATATTTTTCCCTACAAAACACTGTATTTTCTAACAAATATTTTTTTTGTATACAGACCTGCCATTATGTTTTTCTTTCTTAAATAGATTTTGACTCTCAAGTTGGAGGCGGTCCCTGTTGAACAGAGACGTCTTACTAAATCCTTTCACAATCACATATCCTTAACCTATAGGACAATTTAAACTAAAAAAAATGACAAACATCTTATCGCACCTTTAATAATAAACTGAATTAATTCAAAATTTACGTTTTTCGAGTTTTTAACAAATACCAAATCAACTTCATCAGTAGAACACGAACAATCCAACAGGCGACTCGATACCATGAAAATGGCAGAGATAAGGAGATCGTCGTTCTCTATTTGACGAACTCGCACGTACAAATGTCAAACTTTAAATGCGATTTCCCACAATATTGAAATTCTAAGTTAATTCAGTTTATGAATAAAGGTGCGTTATGTTCTACCTAGAACTTTAAATTCAAATTAATTTTGTAACACACGTAGTGGCACTAATCTGAGATATATTAAATATTACGTTATTACAGTAGAATGCAACAACCATGACCATGATGTATAGATAGTTCAGGATAAATGTAATTCGTTTTTGTAATGAGATTTTTGAAATAAGTTTTTTTTTTAATTTTAAACTTTATAATGAGTCTCGTAACTGAAGATCGGGTACAGTGCTTAAATGTGAAAGCCCTTTACAGCGTCAGATGTTAATAGTATACACACAATATACACACTATAGGTGATGAAATGATACCGATTTAAATTCACTAAACCTCATGAACGTTTTTGTTAAGTTTTACTGAAAAATATATTTGCAAATTAGGATATATTAACTTCTCTACTTTTGTAATTGAGATTATCAGTATCCCATATTTAGAGCGCTATGTGACTAAATAAATAGGAGTTTTCATGCAATTCTAAGTCATTTTCTAAAGTCTCCCGTGTCATCATTTTTCTTTCGGTTATCCCGGTATTTTTTTGGCTATTTGAAGTAGAATATTGTCACGAAATCTAGAAAGAAGGAGATTATTTATTTAACCAGGGTGGCACGGAACAACGAGATTTATAACACGCGATTACCTTGTTAACATTTGAAACGAATTTACATTTCTACTAGGAAATTGATAGTTCTACTAGAGATTGGAATAAGTTATAAAGAGTTTTTTAGACGTCTGGCGAGTATTATAAATACGGGCACGTCTTGGTCCAATAAAGCTGGTACTGATGTCGCTAAACAGCTCTAAAAGTTGGTATTAGTAAAAAAAAAAATTGGTTCACCAACAATAACGTTATATTTTACGTTGAAAACGTTTAACGTTAACGTGACGTGTTAACGTGATTGTGCAACGGTAACGTGTTTAACGTGTAAAACTAAAAATAAGAAATTGGTTATTTTGTATGTGCTTTTAAATAAAATTTTGAATTATTGAAGAAATTCTTAAGTATAAAAAAAACGGTTTGTATTAAAATTATAACTAATAATAATTATGCTCATTATTCATTGACGTTTTTATTATTAGATCTTATAAATGTCTATACATAATTTGAAGAAAATTAAATAAAAATCAACAGTGAGTTACATTGACCAAATTTTTGTTATTTCAACACATATGACAGCAGAAATCTTTGATGAAGGGATGAAGGGTATGATTTTGTCAGATTTTCTGACAAAATCATTCCCTTCATCCATGAATAATTCGCTCTATTGATAAAGTTAATCTGAAGTAAGTTACGTAATGGGTAAAAAATAAATATCATTATGAACAGTTAATTTTTACATTAAGTTGTAACCATGATGTACAGCAACAACTAAGATATTCTAAGATACAAGATGTTTTTTTTATGTATGGTCAATCAGGTATAATTGAGTGGTATTATTGCGTACCAGCACAATTTTTACTTAGCATATGATACAAAAATCTGAAAAATGGGACGAATCCCAAGAAATTGGTTTGTCTAACATCCCTGGCAGTGCGCACGAAGAGTGACTATAACAAAACTTTTTAAAAATTTAAGGGCCGGTGGACAGAAATGTCACCTACTTGTCACGTAGCTAAGTGCGTGCACCTTCATATAAACTCACAGTCCACACTAGAGTATACATGGCATGGGACAAAATTATAGTGAACTGTGATTTATCATTCGATTTTTGCGTACGCAGGTTAGGGTTGCTAGGTAGGTAGGTTAGACACTATCTAACAGTAAATCTAGTATTTTTTAAATTTTTATGTAAGGAACGGTAGCTATATAATAAAATGAATAACTAGATTTACTGTGAAATAGGCAAAAAAGAGTCTTTATGCATCGTCTGAAAACAGCTTATTGGCAACAACGCGTAAGAAAGTAGTAACCCTAACCTACGGAAAAATCGAGTGATAAATCACCGGTCATTCACAGTTCACTGTGATTTTGTCCTACATTATACTAATCTGTGATTTTGTCCCATGTCGAGACAAGAGTGACAAAACTGACTCGTGCGCGCATGCCCTAGGTTCGAAATTTTTGAAATGGCAACACACATACACACGACTTCGTCCAGTTTCTGGTAGCAGCGTGGCGTCGGACGCCTAGTTCTAGGAATTCTGTTATTTTTCTGTAGTAATTTTGACTTATTTACATCTTGGAAATGGGTGACCGTAAGTATTAGGTTTATAAAATGTTACGAAATTGTCCCATTTTTAAAAAACTTACTAAATTTTACAAATTTGGTCCTGCAGTGGGGGATTATAGTGGAGGAGGTTATTCTGGTCAATATTCCGTGCCGCCACCTACAATGAATTCAGGTGACAATAATTATGGTTCTGGACAAGGCTATAATCAAAGCAGTTACGCTCCAAACCAAGGCCAAGACTGGAATCAACAGAGTACAGGTGAGATGGAATGAAATCACTTCTAAAGTATTTTTTCGAAGAAGCTCAGTCTAAGACGCGTATTTCTCTTTCACTTATGTTTATTTTGTAGACATCTTTTCGACCTATTGAAGTATGCTAAATGTCTATAGTAATTTTTGTTTATTTTAGGAAGACGTACACACATAATATATTAATTAAACAGAATCGGCGCTATCCTTTTTGCCGCCATGTCGTTTGTGTCACGCATCGACCATTTGTTCAATAGCCAGATTCATTGATAAATAACTTGTGTAGTCAGCATGGTAGCTATTTACCTATTCCTTTTAATAGAGTCACCACTTATAACATTGTAACAAAATTATAATTATGGAGCTGGCTCATTAATTGATTTTTAACAAACTGTAACTACTACAAATCCTGGAAATTAATTTTTAATCAGTTTCTGATTGTCATATCAAAAGCAAACCATATGTATATATTATGTCGCTTGGATGACTGCATCATTGCATCTTGAAGCTAATCCTCAGTCACTTGGCTACTAGTAAACCCTGAATTTGGGCTCACTTAATTTGTTTTGTAGTCCTACAGATGTAAAGCCAGGAGGTGGAGACTTAAACTTTCCAATTTTAGATTTAGTTAGCTTTTAAAATGTGTTTTACTTTCTATGTGTTTGGTAATCTATCTAGTAATTCTGGTTCTCCAATTTATTATAAGTAGTTGCTATATTTTTATCATTTAAGATACAGAAAATTCAATGTTGTTATTTAAACTGAGCATTTATGTAATATTTGCCTAATATTCTGTATCAACTTCATTATCTTTTATCAGGTGCTAATTCTTATGGTGGCGGCAACCAAGCCAGCAACAATTATGGTCAGGGCTATGATTCCAACTATGGCAGTGGAGGCTACGACCGCAACAGTGGCAGTAGCTTTAATGTGAACAGCGCTGACCGTAGTGGTAGCAACTATTATGGAGGTGGCAGTGGAGACCGCAGCAACTCCAACTATGGTGGTGGCGACCGTGATAGAGACAGACAAGGATATTCCAGTGGAGGTGGTGGCGATCGGGGAGGGTACGGCGGAGGTGATCGATCAAGTTACAATAGAGATGGGGGGAATAGAGATGGAGGATATGGGTAAGTGTTATTACTCTTTGATTTTATTTACATTCATAAGTCTAACAAAAAAATGAGATTCAAGTGCTCCATATCCAAAACCGTTGCTAAGGCATTTATCCCATTGAAATATAAATTACTAATTAATAGGCACAGGTGTAAGAGTGTACAAGTTTGTGGGTATAAAATTAAATGTTTGTAATAATACACACATGTTACATATACCCAACAGTATAATGTCTTGGTGTTGACAAACGGGGAAAGTGTTAATAACACTAGGCAACAGAAAAAAATACTTCTTTCCTGTGAAGGGATCTGGTTGTGTGTTTTGCATTCCCCTTATTCAGACAATGTAGATTTTTGTTTTTTTTATTCATTCTGCCAGTTGTAAGAAGGAAAACGATGTAAATAAAACAATTATTAATCTGCAACCATTGCAGGGCAGTTGGTCTCAATAAAAAATAAACTGAAAAAGAAACATGCTTAATTTATTTAAACCATTTCTAGATCAATTAAGATCTTTTCATAGATAAGTCTCTAACATGGTCTTTAAGTTCAACAATCAAGCTCATTAATTAAATGTAATGATCAGTCTAAACCACATTTGGTTCATTAGACTGTGCTCTCAATGTACATGTCACTTGAGGTTTGTATTTGAGTGTTTAATGTAACTGACTTGGTCCCTTAGCCGACAAATATTATGCTCTTATTTTCATACTTTGATTTCTTAGCAAAACTCAAAAATCCTTCAGATGATCCAAAAGTTGCCCCCAAATCATAGGTTGTAGAAAAGGCATCTCTGTTGGTTTTTTTTAACAAATAAATCTGTTAAATTAATACAAAAGCATATTGTAAGAAAATAGACAGATACTACTAAACATTCACTTATACTTCTAATTTTATTAATTTTTGTGATTGTTTCTAAAAAATCTGAGTGTTGCCTAGTGTAATTGATTCTTCTGTGTCATAAATGACTGAAGAAAATCTGTAGTGTAGTGGTGCAAGTGCCTTAGCTTTGGGTGTATACTATTATCTAACAATAGTTGGTCAAGTTATCAATGCAAAATGGAAAATTAATTAGTAAGAAACATTTTTCTAATATACTGCTGAAAATTTTACACAAATGGTTGTTCTAAACTTTATTGCCGTCATCAGCCCGACTCTACATATTACTGGACTTCTTGAAGGTCTCTGCAACACTGGTCTATTTGTGGATGGTGAGCCAAATGTATTGTAACAAATAATAATCTATAGAATGGAAATAATGCCTTTATGTACAAAAAACTTAAAATGTATCCAAAGTTAATTACAATATCTTGCTTGTACTCATAATACACAGCCATCTTTTTGTGAGTTATTATTATAACTAAATAAAGCAAAAAGTTTATAGTCTGACGAATAAGTCAGTCCTGTCCTGTTTGGTTTGGTTTGATTTGATATATATTTATTTTAATATCATATTTACTCGCCTAAAGCTTCATTTCATTTGGTTTGTGTGAATAATAGTTACGATTAAACTAGTTTTTTGGGACCACAGGTTGTGGAACCTGCTTGAATTTAAAGATATATTCAACGTGATTTTAGTATTGATGTGCTATTAATTTGAACCTGAATTTTATTATGTAGGTATCCAAGTGCGGTTTCATGAAAAAGTTGAAAACTGTCTACCGGTGCATAGTTACTGTTGTTATCCATTTTCAATAGTCAATCATCTTTATTTCATATAGTCCATAAAAATTGTTCGTAATAGTTGTTGAATGTTGTTTTTGTTAATATATCTATTAAAAAATTATAGAATATTAACATAGAATGTCACCTCAAGAATAGGTTCCATTATACGTATATTATTATGATGAAAATGAAACCCACTTGCTTACAAATTGTAATACATATATATATTGTAATATAAATTATTGTGATCTTTATCTAAATAAATATTCATCATCAACAGCCTATACTAGTCCACTGCTGGACATAGGCCTCTCCTTAGAGAGAGATAAATATTATTATTATTATATATGAAATTATTACAAAATAAATAAGATTAGAAGTAACTAAACTAAAATTCATCTAGAGGAAAAAAAAATGTAAAAAACATGTAAAACAAAAAAAAAAATGAAATGGTAGTTTCGTTAAGTATATAAGTCCAAATAGCCTGTGAATCTAAAAATAATGCACACAGTCCCAATCACTTTTATCTTCCATATAATAAAAGTTGAGTAGTAGCAATTTAAAAAGTGGACGAAAAAAACGGGCTGTGAAGATGTTGGGTTTGAAAATAGTTAAACCCTGGGTATTTGGAATTTTCGAATATCTTTCGCTTCATACTATGTACGAAGAACAGGAGAGCTAGCGTCAAAGCAGGCGGCCAATCATACAAGAAAAAGTCAAAACCATTTCGCAACGAAATCAAGGAGTGCGTGAAAGAGGATGTCGAGGGATCAAGAAGAAAATTAATTGCACTGACCCCTAATAAATGAAGAGCAGGAATATGATGATGTTGAATGGTAGCAATAGCCATTCAGCCATTGTTTTTATTTCTATGGTGGACTTTAATTTGGTTATAAAAAAAGTTATATTGTAATATTATTATAAAATCGGATGATTTATGAACTTAAATATTGTTTTTATAAAGGGAACCTGCCATTGTCATTATATTTATGTGTTACGTGAAACGTACGTGTGTTGAAAGTAAAGTGTAAACTAAACATCTTGTCCTTTCTCCGTTATGAACTGTTTGCATTTTTAAGTTCTTTAAATATGTAAATTTTCGGCCCTTATATACCTCTTTAAATATATTTAACGTCAGCCATAAATTTTTCATTCCTCACTATGTAACTTACAAATTTCATGGTGTCAACATTCAAGTCAAAAGATACATTCCCTTTTAAGTTTGTGTTACTTAAATAAACTTGACCCAATGTTTTTGACGTTAAAATGAGACTAAGACATTCTTTGCCTGCACTGGCCTATAGTAATATTCATGTAAGATTATTATATAAGAGTGAATTACTACTAAAACTTCTGTATATAGAATCAACTAAATATAAAATGTTTTAAATCATATTTTTATTATCCTTGTCAGTGACAATAATATAAGTCATGTGTGACTTAATAAATACCTATAATGAAAAATATTATTCATTCTTATTAAAATAGCGATACTACTTTTATATTATTGAGCAAAACGGTCAGGCAATTACAGGAGATGCAGTAATGCCATATAAGGATAATGAACCTAAAGCAAATTAACAAACTTAATGGTGTCTAGTTTAGTGTCATTGAGATGGCACCTGGGATCATTAATTTAAACTTATCAGAGATCTGTCATAAACTGCCATTAAACAATAAACAGTTTCACAAGAGTGATGGTGAAGGTTGAAATACCTTAAACTCTCAAACTGATTGTTGTTAACAATAAAAAATAGTGGGCCTATGTCTATTTTACAAAAGGATTTGGCTTTATTAAATTAAATTTCCCACTACACAATTACATTGTAACTGTTAAAAAGAACAGATGTAAACAAGGGCATAAAAATTAGTAATTTTTAGGGCAACACTGTGTTGTGACAATTCAGTAAAACTGTTGAGTGCAAGCAGAAATTAAATACATTTTAATACGTAGATCAAGATCTAGTTATCTGTTAAGTTGATGAAGTAAAGTTCCTTTCTTGTGTTATGTTAAAAATACTTTATATGAAATGGTGGATATACAATTGTGTTGTCATTTAAGGATTGATCACATTTACAGAAACTATTTTCTGGTTTTATTTTTTTTGTGTTGTTACATTGTATATTTGAGTCCAGTGCAATATTACTTATTAACCAAGCATAATCTATTAAGTCCGCATATAAATTTTCTTATAGAACTTTAGCCCTCCTCATTCATGGATAATTTTAACATATATTTAATTATTCTTACTGCTTGTTATTTTTAAATATTTACGAACGAATACTGATATAGTGTATTCAGACCATGATTCTGAGTCGAAAATTATTGGAATTTTCTGCCGGAAAATTCATCTTTCATTTTTGTAATTTTACGTTTCATTAGGTTAAAAATTATCAAAAATGATATCACAATGAGTAAACAGAATATTTTACCGAAAACAATGTAATGAATACCGCATACGATCAAAACCTGCAATGTAATTAATCAAACAGCCGAAATGCGCGGGGCCTCTGTGAGCGTAGACTGTTTGCACGGAATACACATGTAGTTATTGCCTTTGCGATAGCTACGGGGAACGACCTTAACCTTAGATTGCATAAAAAGAAATATTTTTAATGCCAATGATTTTTGACTGAGAATCATGTTCTGAATACACTATTTCAGTATTCGTTACGACGTTCCTTACAGCCTGTATAATAATGTAGTATTTAAGTGGACCATAAATATATAGCCGGTTTTACATAGTTATTCAACTGTTATGTTACTGGTAGTTAAAACAGTTTTGACAATAATTGTACATACCATTTTATTTTAAAACTTCTTGTACATTTGTTAGCATGCATGTCCAAGAGTTTATGCTATAATATCATCACAAAATGTTCTAAGATTTTCAAGGTATTAAAGGTTATGGTAAAGAAAAGGATGCAACACATGGAATAATGGTCACCATAAAGTGTACCTAGGTGTCGATCAATCTGCGTGCTTCGTTCAGTGTGTCCCCAGCCTGCCGAGTGTACTAAACGGTGTTCTTATTGTTTTAGTGGCGGCGGCAGGGGGGGTGGTTATAATAAAGGTAAAGCTCCTCGCGATGAGCGAGCGGTGCTGTTAACATTTTATTAATTTGTTATTATCAAAGGGCTGCCAAACCTGGTATTCTATTGGTTCACTGGTAATAAAACCTGTGGTTGAGTGTATAATTATATTATATATAGTCTTAGTATAGTAGGAGTTTTACATATAAGGCGTGTAATTATTATTGTTCTTAGGGGATAAATGGTTAAAAATAACCTCTTTGTGATGTAAAAGGTACTATCAAAAAACTTGAAAAACATTTAAAACCATCGTCGTTTCTTAGAAACGAGGAAAGGTGCCGCCGTCTCTCTTAATTATTTTGTAGTAAGGTACAATAATTGCTTATGTACACTAATACACATCCACACTAATAGACCGTAACAACTCAAAGTCGACGTGTCAGAAAATTGCAGGATTTAAATTATAGGCGATTAGGATTGTGTTTTAATGGTTTTTTTCTAACATTGTATTGAGTCTTGTCGACTCAAGGTAGACATTGACCATTACATGTACCAACAGTTGGAGTGTTTACAGAATTTAGTTAAAGTTTAACTATGCAGTGTAAACACCAACAATGATGTTCTTCTTTAATTTGATAGCCATCAATCTGTTATCGTGTTCTAATTTTAAATTTAAATAAATACCTGTGGTAGGTAGATTTTGATAGGCATCGTAATATATCTGTCATGTATTTTTTTCACTCCGACTAACAATATTAAGGAAACACTGTCTGGACTATAACAGGTGATTAATTTAGAGTAGTATCAACATTAGTGTACTAAGTATGAAATTAACAATTGCAACGATAACGCTCAAAATTCAATAAATCGTCACACACTACATGGTCACTGTCAGTGTCTGCCAAATGTGCGGTTTTACGGTGATTAGGTAGGTTATTGTTTGTGTTTCACAAAATACCAGAAACATGCATATCGTTTTGGCAGCCCTAATATGTGTTATTTAAATGTCATAAGGAAAAAGTGGATCATAGCATCAAAACCCAAACAAAAATTAAGGATGGCTATTACATAATTTAGGTAATTTTATAATAAAAATATGAGTACTGCGCTTCAATGCACGTCAATTGGTTGAAATTGAAATGGTAAATTGAAATTTACAAGGTTGTTTAAGTGTAAAAAAATTGCTGAGGTTGTAATGCGATAAGTTTAAATGCGTCACGTTTATTCAAATAATTTAACTCGAAATGTATTATTAGTATTTTTTTCATACATTAGCAGCAAAGCATTAAGACTGCGGTTCGATCCCTGCATAACTGTTATTCATTCTGGGTTAGCAAGTATACTTAGCAGCAGAACAGAACGAATTATTTTAGAACAAGCAGCTGGAATAATAGCAACTAAATAGTTATTTTCAACAGGTGGCGGCGGTGGTTTCGGCGGGGACCGGGGTGGGGGTGACATGGTAACACAAGAAGATACAGTCTTTATTCAAGGCATGAATCCAGCTACTACTGAAGACGAATTATGTCAACATTTTGGTGCAATTGGTATTATTAAGGTATATATTAAGTTGTCACACACAACGTTTTGAATAAAGTTTTGAAACACAGATAATATAATGGCAATAATATTTTATAGACCGATAAGAAAACTCAAAGACCAAAGGTATGGATGTACAAAGATAAAGCTACTGGCCAACCGAAGGGTGAAGCTACTGTTACCTATGAAGACTCGAACGCCGCATCATCAGCAATTCAGTGGTTTGATGGCAAAGACTTTAACGGTGCCACCATAAAAGTATCACTTGCTCAGAGGCAAAACACATGGGGTGGTAATAAAGGAGGTAGCAGTGGTGGCTTTCGAGGCGGTCGAGGCGGAGGTGGCGGTGGCGGCGGACGTGGCGGCGGCGGTGGAGGCAGAGGAGGTGGCAATGGCGGAGGTGGTGGTGGTGGTGGCGGCGTCGGCGGCAGCAGCATGAGCGGCGGTGGCGGACCACCTAGCGGTAATAGAGCCGGTGACTGGAGATGCCCAAACCCTAACTGCGGTAATACTAACTTCTCGTGGAGGAAGTCCTGCAACAGATGTAATGAAGAAAAACCTGAGGGTGCCGGAGGCGGACCGCCGTCAGATGGCGGTCGCGGTGGTCGCGGTGGCGGCGGTCCACCTGGACGTGGAGGACGTGGCGGTGGCGGCCGAGGTGGTGGAGGCGACCGCGGCGGTTGGGGTGGCCGTGGAGGAGATCGCGGTGGGGACCGAGGTGGCGATCGCCGCGGTTATGGAGGCGGTGGAGGTGGCGACCGCAACAGCGGTGGTGGAGCAATGAGGGGCGAAGGAGGGTAATTATAATTTGACGGTTATTTTATGTTCTCTTCTCTATTTGATTTTGCTTTCACTATAGTTCAACTTTTAATCTAATATTGTAAATTCGAATATGACTTTCATTTGTTGTTTATGTTTTCTTGACTGAACTAGTTAACCGACCATCATGATGACATTAACTACTAAATGACTAATTAACGCCATTGAAGCTGCAGGCAAAGGCCAGTAGCCGTAGCTATAGCCTACAAAATAGTAAAGAAAATAACTTTTTGAAAGGTGTTTTTCTAGTGATATTCGTAAATAAAACAAATCAAGATCATACATTATAAAAATTATAAATTTAAGTTATTTATATTTAATTATACTTTTTCGTTTCAGTGGCAGAGACCGGCAAAGACCATATTGATAAATTACTTACTAATAGTTTTAGTATTAAGTTGGTTTGTAGGTATGTTATATTTTAATTTGACTGAAGCTAAATTACTTTGTAATACAGTAGTACTACATTACAATTCAGAAATGAAAGCTTATTAATAAATAGACTTTAAAACACTCTTAAGGGTGCGTTTCCACTGACGCGGAGCGGAGACGAGCTTAGTGGTAAATATATTAACCAATCACAATGCTCGCAATCTCCGGTCCGCTTCAATAAAAACAGCACGAGTGGAATGGACTAAATCCGATCGGAAATTTATATAAAGTACGTGAGCATGCAGTTCCGAGCGGGATTCAACGAAGTTGAATTTCAAGCGGAGGGCAGCGGAGAGTGTCGTGTTAAGTACCGTGCGGACGGCTTCAGTGGGTACACTCACCACTATTCATCATTTTGCTCCGCTCCATTAAGCTTTAGTGAAAATGCATCCTAAGACTAAAAATTTATATAAAAAGTGATTTGATACATACTAAGTTCTGTTTAGCTATCCGAAATCAAGAACTTTGACATATTAAACAGTATTGCTTATGCAGTGTTTATTCAGAATATGTAAGGGTTATATTATGTACTTGAAATTAGTAAAATGTTGTCATCGTACCAACTAGTTGTTTTATTGTACCTCGTTCCTATGGTCTGGTCTTGGCAACACTTAACATGAAAATGTTTTCGTTGGGATTTTACTTCTCTTTCTAAGTAGCTTATCACAATTTTCTGTTTTTCTTTTGTTTTGTTTTTCATTCTTTTTTTGACGGGCCTGTTGGTCCAGTGGTTAGTGACCCTGACTGCTAAACCGGAGGTCGTGGGTTCGATTCCCACCCAGGACAAATATTGTATGATGAGCATTGTCATTTGGTCTGTCTGCGTGTAATTTGTCTTTAATATGTATCTATTTAGAAATATATACGAGTATGTTTATCAGCAGTCTGGTTACCATAGTACAGTGTGCGTTACCCCAGCAAAATAATGTCGAAAATGGTCATTTAAACGTTATAGATAATTAGTTGCTCCCCTTCTGTAATTGTTAGACACATTTTTAAATTTGTTTCACTTAAACTTTTTTAGTTATTTCAAAAAAACATTTCCTGCTGGGGTAACGTTTGAAAAGTTACCGCAGCCAGATATTTTCTTTTTTAATTGTAATATTGAAATAAATTTTAGCTAAATAATTAGTTATCCGGACTAGGTAAATGTTACAACTTATTTGGTATTTGTATTTTCTTCGGCTGCGAAGTTATTCGAGATCCTGCTGGAGTAACGTTTGTAGGTTTGCTGGATCTCTGAAACGGGTAAGCGGATTGTAACCATCTTTTGTACATAACTTCTTAAGGATTAGCTTTAATTTGTTCGACAATAAAATAACAAAAATAATGAACCGTTTAAAAATTATTTAGGTAAGTATGAAAACAGTTCAATTCATCCTAACACTTTAAATAAGACCTCTAAAGACTTACTTGAAACGTTATTCTATTGCTTGTACCTACCTTCAAATGTATACGAATTTTCGTAAGAATACTGTAAGTGACTAAAAAGTTTTGATGAAATGTAGCTCTCCACGTTCACGATCACAATGTGTGTGGCCTTTTTTGGCCACAGATAAACCTGTGTGTCGATATATAAACTGAATGTTATGCCAATAATTAGTTGTTTAGTTCAGTTGTCTACCTGTAAAATTTCAACATATAATAATTTACGAGATAATTAAATAAAAGTCATTAGAAGGTGAAAGACCGTGGTAACCTGACCATGTTTAGGTGGTTACAAAAAAGCGATCACCCAGTACATTGTGCTGGCTTTTAAAATATGTAGGATATTATTTGCAAGTTTACTACGGATATGTACATAAGTGTTACAAAAAACTACATGTTTTTTAAATCATTTTTATTTAGGATTGTTTATTGCATAATTAGTAATCGGCCGGGAGATTAGGTATTGTTTTGAATGCTTTTGTTTTCTCGGAATGTTTAGGTGAATTGTTTATAGTTGTTCATAGAATTGGTACCTGTGTAGTGTTTGTTAATTGAAGTTTAATTTTAGGGTAGGTATAGGTAATTTAAGTTTTGAAGAGTGTAACGTATGCGTTGTAAATAGGTATTTTGTGAATAGATGGGGATTTTTTTTAAGTGATGAATCGACTTAGGCTAGCATATCGCGAACAAACTCTGTATTGCATTATTTCTGTAATAATGTTGGAGAAAATAAAATATTTGATCACAAAAAATTATAATAAAATAAATTATTTATGTAAAATTAGTAATAAGTGATATACCTACCTACAAGTTATGATCGTTTTTAATTTATTCACCCTGAACGAAATTTCAATATTAGCATTAGTAATTAATATCCTAAGACAAGAATTGACAATTACTTAAATTGAATCGAATTAGCATTAATGCCCATTATTATTAATTAGGTACACACATATTGAAGAACTCTCAAGAATACGATAAATATTTGCAAAAATAGAAGCGGAAGCGCACACGCACTTTACAAGACGTATATTATCTGCCTAAGGGTCAAGTTTAGTGCACTAGATGCAAATTGCAAACAATTAAGTATCCCTTCGCCCCTCCCCTCCCGCGTTCTAGCGAAGGATGTATTATCGGCGATTCTTGATTGACAGATATTATCTGACCAATAATTTTGTTTATAAAAATGTATCACTTTCACTCGATAAATTAAATTACCGTTATTATATCAAAATATCATTCAACAACTGTTCGTTTTTAACAGAAATCAACAGTCACGGGCTCAATGCTTAGCGGTAGGTACATAGGTATAGATAATTCTCGGTTCTCGGTATAGACCACAGAACAATATTACTTATTCTTACGAGGTATACGACTGTTGGGCGATGCAATGTTGATGCATTCTAATTTACAACTGTATTCTTCTACTATTCGGTCTATTTTAACTTATTGTGGATGACTTGTTGCTTTAAATATTTTGATGCATTCAAGTCTAAGCTCTATATACCTCAAAATAAAATACAATTACTTTAATGTTATTTCTTTACAAAAAAAAAACAAAGAAATGAAACGATTTCTTATTGGTTTAAATTTTCGATTTATTGCAGTCTGGTGAATCGTTCATACATGTATCTACATATTTATAATTTTAGCGGACCAGTGCAGATTTTCTGTTGATTGTAGCTCCGGTAGTTAAAAAGACTAAAGAAATTTTAAGTAAAGAAACTAGTGCTTAAGATCAATAAGGAAAAAAAAACAAAATAAATAATAGGTAATAATAATGAATAAATATTGAATGTATTTAACACTGCACGCAATTGTACCGAAATCGTAAGGTGTATTACACTAAACATTTTAAAAGACAGCGCAATGTACTGGGTGATCGCTTTTTTGTAACCACCTAAACATGGTCGGATTACCACGGACTTGCACCTTCTAATGACTTTTATTTAATTATCTCGTAAATTATTATATGTACGACGCTGAAATTCTACAGGTAGACAACTGAACTAAACAACTAATTATTGGCATAACATTCAGTTTATATATCCACACACAGGTTTATCGGTGGCCAAAAAAGGCCGCACACATTGTGATCGTGAACGTGGAGAGCTACATTTCATCATAACTTTTTAGTCACTTACAGTATTCTTACGAAAATTCGTATACATTTGAAGGTAGTTACAAGCAATAGAATAACGTTTCAAGTAAGTCTTTAGAGGTCTTATTTGAAGTGTTAGGAGTATTGAAGTGTTTTCATACTTACCTAAATAATTTTTAAACGGTCCATTATTTTTGTTATTTTATTGTCGAACAAATTAAAACTAATCCTTAAGAAGTTATGTACAAAAGATAGTTACAATCCGCTTCCCCGTTTCAGAGATCCAGCAAACCCACAAACGTTACTCCAGCAGGATCTCGAATAACTTCGCAGCCGAAGAAAATACAAATACCAAATAAGTTTTAACATTTACCTAGTCCAGATAACTAATTATTTAGCTAACATTTTTTTTTTTTTTTTTTTATTTAAATAAGAAAAACAGCATAACATAAAAACATGAAACACCCATAAAACGCGTATTGGTTTATCTTGGGTGTGAGTGTACATTCCTCATTCCTTTATGTTTCGTTTGTTTAATCACTATAATAACAATACTTTTAATAGAAATACACTGGTAGCAGTACAATAAATAAAAGGTGCAGGGTAGGTAGGCGTACAAATCTTCCAAGCGTTTGTTGACCGGTATGGTTGTTTACGTTCGATAACAGTATGTTATTCGCACCTACTTTTACTACTACCTACTTTTACGAGTTCGCTTAGAGTCTATATAGGGTGATTGGTAACTAGTACTTTTTAAATAATATAAGTGCATTAATTATTTTAAAGGCATATGCATATATTATATATCAGATGTATTTATTTATAAATTATATAAATTGTAAAGGTTCATTTTAGCTTACTGTTTGCAGGTAGGTAAATATTTTTGACTATTCGTTTTATGTTGAGTAAATCTATTTTATTCCTTGTTTCTTCTATTCTTGGTACGAGGTAGTCGTTAGTTCGCTTGCCGTAGTAGTTGTTAGCTGTTTTGGTAGTTAGCATGTTATTTACAATTTGACGGGTCATAATTGGGTGTTTTTTTAGATTACTATTGAATTTAAAATAATTTTCTATAATTATCACCATTTTTACTTTCTCATGAACGGGTATTATTTTACAAAATTGAAACAATTTTTCATCATCATAATTAAATTGTATACGTACTTTTTTGGGTACAATAGCCTTTAACAAACGAAGTTGTAAGGAATGAATTTTTTGCAGATATGATGGAAATGTCCGTCCATAACTACTGAGTCCATATAGTATAATACTCTCCGCTAAGGCTGTATATGTATATCTAACAAAATAGGGAAAGGTATTTTATATTTAAGTATATAGAATTTTGCTAAAATGGCGCGTAGTTTATCACACACAGTTTCAATTTGAGCAGACCAATTAAACCTATC